AAAACAAATAAATCCTTTTACATATTTATTCCGAAGGAGTAAACCTCACACGAAAGAAAAATCATTGGGGAAGGCAACGAGAAACCACCCCAATTAACTTTTACTAGTATAAACACAATGGATCAAGTCAATATAGAAACGGCCCTTAGTCCCGGGCATCCCTTAAGTAGGTAGAGGGTGCTAAGAATCCCCCGAGTGCCACAAATATTTAGATTTAAGCATGATAAGAATATTGATCCATGGAATGTACAAAGTTTATTCCAGGCCGGAAAAGTGAATAAAGTAATTAAAGAAATGCATTAACATACGTGGATGCAGTGAAGTTAGATGGCCTAATTTAGGCCAGTGCGAAATAGAAAACCACACAATATACTACTGTGGATATACTGCAACAAGAAACAAAAATGGAGTGGCTATAACAGTAAATAAAGAAGTTAACGAATGTGTACTTAGTTTTATAGGAATATCAGATAGAGTTGCGGTACTCAAAATTAATGCTAAACCAGTTAACGTGAACATATTTCAAGTATATGCTCCAACTTCGGAAAGCTCAGAGCAAGAAATAGAAATATTCTATGAACAATTGAGAGAATCCCTAAAACATATTAAAAAACAAGAAGTGAAAATCCTGTTAGGAGATTTCAACGCCCAAGTAGGCAAAGGAGGTGTTGGCAATACTGTGGGACACTTAAGACTAGGATGAATGTAATTTAAGTACTAAGGATATCAGGTACAAACGGCACTCATGGTTTAGAAACATAAGAAATCGATGCTGCATACCTGATCAAGAAAATAATAATAAGAGTGGAAAAAGGATCTTGGAGTATCTTTTAAACACAATGAAAACTAGCTTACTGACTAGCATACGGCACTGTTGTCAAAATAGAAAACACACTGTATGTGCATTTTTAAATAAACCGTGCATAGGTTTGCGTCATACTAAAATCAATAAGCGTCTGTACACAGTAGTTGGCTTCCGTGGTCAAATATCCAGGAAAACAGTTCACAGGTAAGTTCGCTCCCACACTAAATTGTTTAGAAAACTGCTAATGAACAGTGTAAATATACTTGTATACAGAGACGGGCCTATATTGAGAATCATAAAATATATCGATAAAAAAATATATCCACTTATTCAGTATCTATTTATCAGATTGCACCATCATTTGAACCAATTGTTCTTACATATTACCAAAAAGTCTACTGCTACAGATAACCACTACAATAAAAATGCCAATGAGTACGTATGTATCTTCTTAACAATAATGGATATAAATATTCAATATATGCCTCCATAATATTTCAAATTACCAATAATAGGTAGGTACTTATTAGTAAAAAAAACATTTCAACTACTTTGTAAAAAATATTTGATGTCTACTTTTTGGTAATAAAAAGCTGTAACCAATTTATATGGGGCCATAAAAAAAGTCGCAATTTAAGAACGCTATGAAATCATCGGTTTGTACAGCTCGTTAATAGCTTAATCATCATTTTGAATGGCATAAAAATGATAGTTTGACATTGTCATCGTAAAATTTGGTTGGCCTATACTCTTGGGAAAATTACGTAAAAATAGTATTCGACACAACAATTATTAACGAATATTACTTTTACAAAGAGGTAAAAATTAAAACTGGGTATAAGGGAAGAAAAAAATTATAATGTTCATAAACCTCAAATAGAAAAAATACCACAGCCTACACGAGAAGAAATTGAAGATATAATAAAAGATATGAAAAATCAAAAAAGCCCCGGGGAGAGTGGCATTGTGGCAGATAACTTAAAATATGGAAGTGAGCTAATACTAGAAGTGTGAAATCCTGAAGAAATGCCTCAAGAATGGAACAAGTCTATTATATCCTATACAAAAAACGAGATAGAACTGAATGCGCAAACTATAGAGGAATATCTTTGTTAGAGGTAATATACAAAGTGCTCGCCATACTAATTAAAAAACAGTTAGAAATATATGTGTAGAGAAGAATCTAGGAGAATACCAGGGAGGATTTCGCAAGGGAAGATCAACAACCGATCAAAGTTTTATGCTTAAACAAATCTCGATTAATTGCTATGAATACAACATTTCATCACAAGTACGTTCCATTGCTTAGCCGCCCACGATACAATAGACAGAAACAAATTAATAGACACGCTATTATTAGCAAGATTAGTAGAAATGACAATTACAAAAACTATTTGTGCTGTGAAATGCAACGGTATAAGTCTTAGAAGAATTTGAAGTAGAAAAAGGTGTTTGCCAAAGAGAACTGTTGTCTACCTTGCTATTCAATATAGTTCTAGAAAAACTTGTTAGGGTTAGTGGGATAAATAGATAGAGCACTATTTTATACAAAGAGCACCAATGCTTAGAATATACTGATAATGTGGTTCTTATTGCAAGAAATGAAAAAGAACAGGCAAGTATAGCAAAAAGACTAATTCAGGACAGCTCTGAAATGGGACTTAAAGGTAATATTATTAAATCCAAGTACATGGAAATCTTGAGCAAAAAAGGAATAAACCCCAGGGGCTCCTTTAAATTGGAGGTGGAGGATAGATCAGTTGTACAATTCGGGAAGGTGGATTAATATATGTAGGTACTTAGGTACTCTTATTGATCAGGCATATAAGGAAGAAACAGATCAACCTGAGACTGACTATATATATATATATATATATATATATATATATATATATATATATATATATATATATACATTTAATTAAAATTTAAACATATGTAATGTTTTATATCGCCCTTTTATAATATAAAAGAACTAGAAAATGTTGCAAAAAGTGTTTATACCCAAAATATTGCTCAGGATTGATATATATTAGAGTCAAATAATTTTAAATGTCTGCATGTATTTGTATTACAAGAAAATAAATCCCTTCATCTTTTTTGTCTTCTCATAGCACCAATCAAAATGGATTCAAGGTATAGAAGAAAAGAAGAAGAAATAGGAACAGGAACATAAAATATAAAATTGTCGACAGGAAAAGAGATTGAACTGATAGAAAAAATGAAACAAAATAAGGTAAAAATATTGGGAATAAGATTATATAAATAGGAAGGGAAAAGGAAGCCGACAAATAACAAATAAATATACTTTATATTATTCAGGAGTAAAATTGGGAAATAGTGCGAAAAAATGGACGCGGATAATAGTAACAGAAGGAATAAAAGAAAAAACCATAAAAGTTAAAAAAGTTAATTCAAGAATGATTACGATGGTACTACTATTATTAATAGTAACAGCAGAAGACGAATAGAATTTTACAACGTATTAATACATGAACTAGATGGAGCAAGAGAAGCATAAACAGAACTAAAATAAGGATGACCGAGTACTGCAGAAGGAACGATCCAAAGATTGGAAACACCTATTGTAATCAACGAATAGAAAATAAGTTCACGTTTACAACAAAAGAAAGAAATGCTAAAAGTTTACTAGATTATAGGACATATGAAAGAATTAACAAAGGTAATACAAAAAATTAAAATAAAAGGAGCAGAAATATTATCACAGCATAGGCTAGACGTAGCATAATGTGTAGTAAAACGAGGAAGAAAACAAGATAACACTGAGTACAGAAAAGCAGCAATATTTAAACTAAGGAATAGAGAAATATAAGAACAATATCAACACAAAACAAACGAACAGTTATAAAAATTAGAAAGTGAAGAAATCCAAAAAAATTTGAAGAAAAATGGAAAATATTCAAAAGAATAATGACCGATAATGCGGAAGAAGTATATGGAATAAGAAAATATAACAAGCATTTTAAGACGTGAGAATGGCCGAGTGAAGAAATTACGATATTAATAAAGGAAAAGAAAACTGCCTGGAAGAAATACAGGCAGTCATTGATAGGGAGCGATAAAAAGGAATTTATTACAAAGAGAAACATATCAAAAAGGGTAGTCAAAATGACAAACAGAGAAAGCTGGGAAAATTTGCAGGTAGGATATAAAATAAATAACAGACACTTCTGAACTTGCATTAAGAGGTTAAAAGGCAACAAAAGAAAAGAAATATAAGCAATAAAAGAAAAAAAAAACAATCAACTAAAAACGGTGAAAATAGAAATATTAAAACCTGGGAGGAATATTATACAGAGATATTTGGAAACGAAACGAACTGACGACAGAAGAAAACTTAGAGGAAGACGAAATAGTGAAAGCTTACCGGAGATAAAAGTAAGGAAAGTAGATGCAAGATAGTCAGAGCAAAACTACAAGTACGAGGATAAAGATTCAATGAATTCAAAATACACAAAAAATACAACGGTAAGATAGTTTAAGCCCATTGTTTTTCATCATAATATTGGAGAGGATTATAAAGAACCTCAAAGTTAAGGAAGAAAACCTAAATATAATAAAAGAGAACTACTAAATCTCGTTCAAAGGTTTCATATTTGTGTCATATTCTAAGAAATAACAAATAAAAGCTATTAAATTTGCAACTTTGAAGACGAGCTGATCGATAATTTGATATTATATTATAGTTCCATAAGTAGCGAACAAAAAATCGAAAACCAGTTAGAAAAAACTTGAAAAACCGAAGAATATCTTGAAAAGATTTACTCATGGAAGCATTCAATATACATTTAGGAAACATAACAGAAATATTTAAAAATATTTCATGGACCATGCACAAAAGTGTAAACTAGATGCTAGGACGCCAACCTAAAACCAAACTAAAGAATCAGATAACTAGAAGAACTAGTTTCAATAAAAAAGAGGCATTAATTACCAAAAAGAGTGACGTAAAACTTTGACAAAAACGATGAATAGACTAAAAAGTGGAAAAGCTCGCGTCTCAGAAGGCATAGTGGCAGAATTAATTAAAAATTAAACATTTAGACTTTAATAGTTTCAGTTATAAGTAAGTAAGTTATCAGGAAAACAACAACCAAATTAAAATTTATTAGAGTTTTTATCAGCTTTCAAGTTATACCTACAAGATATATTATAGTAAAATATATCGGCTTACCTGAATGACTAGCAATCCTAATTATTTCTTCAGCTTTTTCATATTTAATGTCTATTCCTAAATTATTCAGCATAATCTTGAACTCCCCCGGTGTGACCCGCCCATCTTGGTTCCGGTCGAGCAGTTCAAAAGCAATTTTCAGACCTATAAGAGACATGTTGCCGGTAGTTTAAAATCCCACAAACTAAGTGTTATAATTGCGAAATGTACCATATTTTACAAATCTTTATTTGTTAGGTTTAGAGATATTAAAAAACTATTGGCGGCGGTCCAGATTTTATTTTTTGATGTAAAAGTTTGAAGTGGCATTAAAATTTAGCCGGACTGATTTAGCAGTCGGTTATTTTGGGAATATATTTATATTTTTAGCTTGTTGGACAGTGTAGCGTAAATAATAAACATTATTTAATGAAAAGCGTTTAAAAATTAATTTATTTATTGTTTACACAAGTGCAAAAAGAATATTTAATTTTTTTTGAAAAAATGACGCAAACAGTATAATGATTACAAGGTCTTCAACTAAAATAGAAAATCAAAAGATGAGAAATACAGGGTGGACAAATGAAAATGAAACTGAGGCATTATCAGGAACTGCGATAACATATTTAAAAAACCTAGCGACATGCCGATTTTTGATTGAAAAGGGATATGATTTTCCGGTATTTTCTATTATTTTACTTTAAACCTTAGGACAGACATCCACCCCAATGTGTTGAGTTTAATTGTTCTTGAAATAGATCGAACTCGGTTGAGCCGACAAGTCATTATTTAAGCATTGACTATCACAGTTAAATTAACACATAAGTCAAGTAGACATGACCGAGATCAGATAGATATTATACACAAACAAGACAGTGGTCGTGCTCTTTGAGCGGCCCGATAACATTACAAAAGACACGGCTATTTTAATAAATAGTTATATAAATATGACGTACCAAAAGACGACTTATGAATATGGTTATTGTTACGATTCACATCGGTGCAGTCACCTATCATTCTAAACCGATGAAGTAGCATTATTTGGGCCAGTAGATTTTTTTTTATTGAGTTAATGCCTCGACACAACATTTTATGATTGGTATGGGGGTCAAATAAAATCGTTTTAAAACATTGGCAATTTCCTATTTTTAGGTGGATTTATTTCTTAGATGACCAAATGTTGAAATTGATGACTTCCGGCGCCCGTACAATGCTAAAGGTTTTGTCTGAAACGTTTTCTCACATTCCGAAGCATATGCGAAGGGAATCGTCAGCATTTATTGACGGGCGTCAATAAGATAAATCTGGCGAATGAGGACATCATTCCATGCTGCCTCTTTTCCAAGCAGTGAAAAATGTTGGTCTAAATATTGACGAACAAGGAATGTGGAGGAACGCATAATGTGGAGGAACATCGTTCTGTTGAAAATTTTCACATTTTCACTAATGTCAGTCAAGGCATATAACGCGGCAGCCATATATATGAGTATAACTGCCTAATAAGGCATCATTGTCTTATATGTGCCCTTTTAGGCATAAACGTCGGTGAGCCGCTCGATACCTGTGTCGCGACGTTCTCAAATTGATTAAATTGGATTAAATTGGTGCTTTTATGCAACGCTTTTATTGTCGCTGATGTTTCGATATGAACTTATTCTGCTAGCCTGCAGATATGCAGATATTTATCGATGGGTGAAGATCTGTGTTGTCGCAATGGAACACGTCTATGGAGAATTATATATCGACGAAATTGAAAAATGATCATGTTTGTAAGATATCATCAAATGATTACAAAAACCATATCATCAAACGATTACAAAAACCATATCATCAAATGATTACAAAAACCATATCATCAAATGATTACAAAAACCATTGTCTTAATTCTTCATATAGTGAATATGCGCTTAGGGATTCTTGCATTATTTATTGAGTGAACAATTATATATTTGTATATTAAGTATATAGCACATGAATCACGTAGGCTATGGTGGTCACTGACTTATTAAACAAATTTTATCTAAAAAAACGCTAAACAAAAGTTCCATTTTGTTTTATCTACCAAAATCGCGTTATTTGTCACCACGCCACAAAAAAAAACAAAAACTATGCTAAAAAATAAATTAAAATCTAAACCATTGACGTACTTAATCAATTTACTAAGTAGGTAAATATAATTTAAATATACGGCGTGTTACTGCGTTTCTCAAAAATATTGTAGCTGTTCCTGATAACGCTAAAGATTTTCCAAATCTTAAGCGGAATGACTGCTTTTTCTTCTAAATCACCCAAAAGGATACAAGCTTTAGATGTCATTCTTCAGAACAGATTTTCTCGAATAGCTCCCACCAGATGGAACTATAATGGGAGGTTAGTAAAAACAGTTTCCCAATATCGACAATCCCTAATAGAGTTTTTTAAAAATATTTTGGAGCATAAAGATCGTTAAAACCTGAAACTGAACACGAGATTGTGAATTTTTTACTTGAAGTATTATCTGAAATATTTCTTTATACAGACATTTTATTTGATGTATTGCAGACTAAATCGAATTATATTGGATTTTGTATTAAAAAAAATTAATAAATTCGAACTCCAAATTAGGAGACAGAGGGAACAATTTGATATCATCTGGCAAAAAACTAGCAACCTGAAAGAGATGGAACTCAAGCAAAAAAGGAATTAGAATTGACGATGTACGTGACACAAAAATATCTTATCATCAACTTTTTTGTGAAATAATAAATAACATATCCAAGCAGCCTAAAGAAAGATTTAAAAACTTTTGTGAGTTTAGATTTATGGATTTGTGCAATTTCAATATACAGGGTGGTCCTTAAGTAATTGTACAAAAAGAATCCGTAGATTCTGCACTTTAAAATATTACGATTTCAGTCAACTTGATTTATTAAAATGTTAATATTAAGAAAGATACAGGGTGTTAAAGAGAAAATTTAAAATTTTATTTTTCGCTATAACTTTCACGTTTGCGAATATTTATGGACAAAAAATTACAGTTGGATACTTTTGAGTAGGAGAAATTATAATTTGATGCATAATTTGATGTAACCGATAGAGGGCGCCACATATGCTACATATGTCGCATACATTTGCGCTTAATTTTTTTGCTTTTTAAGTTAGCCCTATGTGTATTGAAAAATATTAAAAACATATTATTTCTACAAAGAAAAGGTATACTTGTTAATAACTTCAAAATTCAACCGTTTTCGAGATAATCGCATTTTATAAGTCAGCTGCATAATAATTTTATTCTTAGTTGTGATAATTTTGCGGCAAAACACTGAATACCTATGAATAAGCATAATTATTAGTTTGTTCTTATTAAAACAACTCAAATATGATAATGTAATATCCCGAAATACTTTATGGTTGCTAAATGTCTTATTGGGGAGAAGCTTCTATCTTCTTCTTTGAGTGCCGTGTTTGTATTCAGAAGTTAGCCGTCATCATGTTTACAATTTCCTTTATATATCGCTTTTATAAGTTTCTATGCTGGCGTTGTATTACTTTTTCTGTATTGTAAAATCCTGAGGTGAGCGTCACGGAAGAAGCGCTACAAGACGGCGTCATGAGCGCTACGCCATAACGTTCACATTTAACGTTAGTTGTCAATAAATTCCTTTCAAACTATAATCAAATAGTATTTTTAAACGTCTTATTTATTTTATAAAATAATTAAATTAACTACCAAATTATTGATGGAATATCAAATTTTTATTTCAATAATAACTTAATATATTAAGTCTCACTTTGACGGGTCTGTATTTTGTTGATACGTTAGCAGGTGGCACCACTAGAAAACATAATTTATTGAATTATTTTAATATAATATAATTTGTTCAAAATAGAAATAATAAATAAATAATAAAGTTACTTTATTTAATGTTAAAAATATTATTTAAAAAATATAGAAAACATGATATGAAGCTAAGTGCTACTCTACAGTGTCAGCTATTGTACCTACCACGTTTTTTTTGAAGGCTGTTTTGATGTCAGTAGACAACCTCAATGCATTACGGGAAAGTTTAATATAGTAGGCTGATGTCACGAATGCATTTGACAACTTAAAATAAGTCTTGTTTTGTTTAATCAGTGATTTTTGTAATATCTAGTCTATTTTGGTTTCTTAAAGAAAAGCAGAAAATGCCAAGGCATAATAATTTTTCTAATATGGAGATGAGAGATATGGTTGCTATTTATTGTCAGCAACACTTTAACGGGCTAGCAGCGAAAAGACAATATTTAAGAAGATACCCAAATAGGCTGAAACCCAATCACCAAACATTTAAACATCTGTTTCGAAATTTAGGCGAAAGTGGTTTATTTCGTCCTAAACGTGACAACTTAGGTCCACCAAAAATCATTACGCATCGATAAATGTATTGAATTAAATGGTGGACATATCGAACACTTACTATGACAAATAGTTTAATCTTAATTAGTTTAACTATTTCTTAATTTGGTTTGAAAAATAAAATGTTTATGACTTTAATTTAATATAAAACGTAAAATGTTTGATGTCAAATCCAATTATCCTATTATTTTGCCAAATCATATTATTAATTATCCTGCTGATATATTTATTTTATTTAATATTTTGTTAGTTATTAACTTTGTTACAGGTATTTTATACCAAAATTCAGAAGTATTAATGTTTTTCTCTATTTTTCTTTCGTTGCCTGGAGTAATTGCGTTAAATCAGAATTATGCAGTTGATTTGTAAAATGCGATTATCTCGAAAACTGTTGAATTTTTGAAGTTATTAACAGGTATACCTTTTTTATGTTAAAATAATGTATCTTTAATATTTTTTACCAAAAATATCGATAACTTAAAGAGCAAAAAAGTTAGGTGCAAATTTATGAGACATATGTGGCATATGTGGCGCCCTCTATCTTCTTCTTCAGATGCAAATCCACTAATGGATGTTAGCGATCACATTTTCCATTAACTCTCTATTTCTTGCAATATGTATCAGAGATTGTATGTCGTTAATCCCTGTCCATTGCCTTATGTTTCGGAGCCAGGACATTTTCTTGCGTCCCATTCCTCTCTTGCCTTCAATTTTACCCTCGATTATAAGTTGGAGGAACTGGTATTTTTCATTTCGCATGATGTGACCTAAATACGCCGTTTTCCTTTTC